GCTTTTTCTCACTCTGAGTGGCTTTGTCCTACTCTTGAAAAACTGCTCCACTCCCTGAGATGTGGTCTCCTGAGGTTTCCAACTGTGGGTGATTGTTTGACTAACAGTGGTCGTTTGCTCTGCTTCTTTTATATCACCACTTTCAGTGCTAAAGTTTGCATGTCCCTTAGTGTCTAATAGGGTTGCAACTAGACCAAATTACTGATGGCGGGCTTTAGGTCTCCCAAATACTTCTTCAATTTAAGCTGCATAAGTTCTGTTGTGTACTCCTCCACTGATAGCACACTTTATTCCACGTAGTAGAGCTTCAAGAAAATATCCTGCTGATAGTGTGAGGGTAGGTACTGTCGCTACATCTCCTATTTGATCTTCTTCCAAAAAGTGATTATGTCTTGTTCTTTTCTCTCTCTTCCTCTTCAGATTTTTCCATCACAAAGTAGCATTCTTCTTCAGCTTGATAACGATGAGTTTCGCTCATATGTCATCTGACACCTCTTTATAGTCAAAACTCAGCTCAACAGTCTGCATTTACTCGAGTAAGTAATCTGTATCCATCCTCCCTTCGAAGTTTGGTAGGTCCACTTTCATTCCTATAACTTTGTCTCCTCCAATAGGCTTGTAATCTTTGTATCTTGCAATAGGCAATACATCTCATGTCTGTTTCCTCTAACATGCATCTCATCTTTGTATCCTCTAACATATGCCCTATCATTGTATCTTCTCATTTATGTATCCTCCAATAGGTGTCTTATCTTTGTATTCTCAAACAAACATCTCGTTTTTGTATCCTCTAACCGACACCTCATCTTTGTATCTTCCAATGGGCACTTTAGCTCTAGATCTTTGTTGATACCGTACCACCCCGAAGCATTGTGGTATGTCTTCTTATCCACTAGAATCATCCATTCGAAAGGGGTTCATGTGTTGTACTTACTCTCCTTTGCGGCTTTCAATATTACAATCGATGGTGATCCTGCCCTGGGTTCTTTTCTCAATGACAACACTTGACGAAGTAGCCATTGTATGCCATCCATCATAAGTTCTTGATTAGATCTGACAATTGTCTCGGTGGTGGCATGGTTGTGGTTTTGGGTATAGGCAGGTGGAAGGAGGTGTGTAAGTTTGGGGTGAAAGAAAATTTTTTGAGTAATGGGGATGCTAGAAACCCTAGGATAGGACTAGGGTTAGATTAGCTATGATGTCAAATGATACCAAAGTTAACTCAAACCACAATAGGAAAATCAAATGTTATTACTAAACACAAATACACGGTTATAACCAAACATACTTAGAAGAGAAATTACAACAAAACAAGACACAAAATCATCTAGAGCTCAATCTGGGGATGTTGGAGGTCGACTAGGTGGTAGGAGTCTAAAATGGGTTGTGGTTTGCTGGGATAGCAAATGGAGGAGTTGGAATTGCATTGGCAGTGAAGCAGAGGTCTTGGAACGGCAGCAACATTCAAGGGGAGGGCTAGGACAGCAAGGGGTAGCGAAGTGGAAGGGTTGTGAATGGCAGGACATCAAGAGGAGTGATGTCTTGGCGCTGCGACAACAATGGGGATGGCTAGAATGAATGAAATAGGTGGTGGGACTGCCGTAAAAAGACACCAAGACTGCTGTCCTGGGCTATTGCAAGATGTACAGAGGGCTGGAAAATGGTCAAAACAACACGGTGAGGAAGGGGGAGGGCTAGGACTGCAAGGGCAATGAAGTGGAGGGAGGGGAAGGCAATGGCGGAGCTGGAAAGGTCGTGGAGGAGTTGGGTAAAAATAAATACCCTATAGTGAACGAGCTACAATCGGAGCACCACTCAATGCCTTGGAAGGAGATCACCACCTTAGACAACTTCCAATTGAAGCACCTTCTCGCCTTTGGATACAGTCTTAAAAGGGGAAACCAAGGATGTTGTAGCTATCTTGATAGAAAACTCTATAAGAACTGACTTCCAAACTCTAATAAAACACATCTATAGGAAATTATTAAAAAGAAATGAAAGATAGTATGAAAGAGAGCATAAAAAAGGAAAATGAGATTATTTCGGTGGCCCATTTCACATCTCCCACAATATTGAATCCCATAGTACTGTAGCAGCTATGATATTTTGAAAACTCTGTGCGGGAAAGCTCCCGCGTCACATGTCTTATCTATAATGTGTAGGTAGGTACTTGCGTTGCATCTCTCATTTTATCTTTGTACCAGAAAGTGATATTATTTTTTCTCTCATGCTGGCGTAAACGCTGCAAGTTTTTTCATCACAAAGAAGCATTCTTCCTTAACTTAATAGTTGCTAGCTTGACCCTTCTATTTGGCGGAACGTCCTTGTGCTCAAAAACATGTTCTACTATTTGGAATCACTTAATGAATTTGTTTGGATCCATGTGCCAATTAAAATCAGGTAAGTCAATCTTTACTCAATTGTTTGGCTTCCCCACTAATATTTCATACCAAATCTACAAGGTATTAGTTCCTCATCATTAATGATTTTCTAATAAGGGATTTATTTTTCTTCTCCATTTGGTGAGTCATCGTTATGGCTATGGGTGATCTTACTGGGTTGTTTTCTTTCAAAGGCGTCAAGCCTTTGTTTTAGTTGAAAGATTTCACTTTGCATGTCTTCCATTGTGAGCTCCTAAACACCCACGTTAATGGTTTCTCTTTGGTAGCATGACGTCTTATTCTTCCAATTGAAGTTTTGACGCAAAAGAAAAATATGGTTTCGGGTTAAGGGCTAGGTGGATGATGCATAGAAAAGTTTTATTGGTGAGGGTGTTAGGTTAGGTTTTATGGAGTCTTGGTTTAGGTGTAGGAAGGACAAATTCCTAAAAATTTAGGGTTTGTTGGACTCTGATACTAGATATACATTTCTAAGGCTCCTAGAAGGTGTAAAAGAACATAAGAAAGGGATAGGCAAGTTTTTGTAAGGATAAGGAAAGCAGGGGGAATGATGGCGACATGCTTTTTTCTTTTATTTTGAGGATGATGATTTCATTGGTGAAACCTTCGGTTATGATTTTTCTATAATGATGCCCATAATTATGGTGAGGTCTCAATCTCTTCTTCTTTGTTTATTATCTTGCCCATCATTATGGTGCATCTTCTTTTGAGCTAATTAATTGAAAACTGATTTTGCAATTAAAAAATTTCTTATTTCATTAATATTTTAGCTTATATAGAGCCACACAATATTTACAATTAAATCCCTAAAATTCTTCTATTTACAACTAGAACCTTACATTAGATATAAATCTCAACACTCCCCCTCAAGCTCGGCGAAAGATATTTACTAAGCCCATCTTTTCACATAATCTAGTTGACTCCACAGAGCTTGTCCTTTAGTTAGGCAATCTACCACCTGCTCTGCAGTAGCTACATAACTTAGTTCCAATAATTCATTATTTAGCTTCTCCTTAATAAAGAATCTATCAATTACCACATGTTTAGTTCTATCGTGTTGCACTTGGTTGTTAACAATGTTGATAGTCGATTTGTTGTCACACCACAACTTCATTTGTCCTTCCTTCTGCTCTGGTCATGACTGCTTCGCTGCGACAAAGAAGGAAGAAAAAACGGAGTTGCTGGTCTCTACATGAACGACGCCGATCACGATCCCGATGATCAAGCAGCTGGTCAGAAGGTTAGGGCGCTGATATCAAATTGAAAAATGATTTTGCAATTAAAAACTTTCTCATTTCATTAATACTTTGGCTTATATAGAGCCACGCAACATTTAAAAATAAACACCCCTAAACTTCTTCTATTTATAGCTAGAACCCTACATTAGATACAAATATCAACATAATTCCATTTCACTTTTTTAAGATTAATGTATAACGTACCTCATTATATTGTTTATTATGCTCCTCAAATGTAATGTCTTTCTTAAAATTGTAATTTAATAATACAAAAGTTGTAGGAGTTAATGACCAATAAAATGAACATTATAAATTCTTGAAATATTTAAGATTATGGCCACATTTACTTATTATCTTACTGATAGTATTCTAAACTAGAAAAATAACAAGTTATGGTCAATAAAGTTCATCTGCTTATTTTGCAACTTAATGTTGTTTGTGGTTGTGTGAACATATGGTTGTTGGAATGTTGGATAATGAAATATGGGAATTATTATGTTTTTGGCGCCATGCATGTGAATGGCCATGAATTTACTCCAATTATTCAGTATATATTCGATTATTATTATAATATAACAACAATTATTCAACCTGTTCATTAATTAAATGACTATTATATTGGTGCCAGTGTCACCATATGGTTTCCCTAGTCTTCCAATTAAACAAAGAAATTGGGATATAACTTATTTTTTCTTATTTCGCTGATCTTTGGATGCAACTGAAATGGTTTTGCAGCAACCAATTAAATTTGTGGTCATTTTGCTATGTAAAAGTTTTATTTTATTTTTTGGTAAATTATTGAATTAGCTTGATGAACATCTTTTTTGGCATTTTTATTTGCTTTAATATTTTATTGATGCTAAAATATTTCAACTGCTAACTTCTTGTAGCCACCATGTTGTAAGTTACATCGTAAAATTGGCTTAGATGATGAGATTCTATTAACTATGAATATGGATGATTAACTACTGTTGATTTTTCTTTCACGTTCCAATCAACATTATTCTGAAACGATTAACTGTGGAGTGTTGCTACTTAGTGTTGAATGCAAAGCCAATAAATCCATTTAGGAAGATTTACATACATACCTCTCAATTCCTATCTATTTATTTACATATCTAACTCTATTTACATATCTAACACCTAAACTTCAATTTCTTACATACATACCATCTTAGCAATGCATGGAAAGATGTATTTCATTTTTTAAAAGTTAAAACTGTGATTGAAAGATTTGGTTGGTACAAATGTAAAAGCAGAATTTAGGTGTTAGATATGTAAATACATAAGAATTGAGTGGTATGTATGTAAATGCCCCATCCATTTATAGCTACTTAGGAAAGTTCTGCTTTTGTTTTTATAGGGGGAACTTTTGCTCTATACTCACTACTTTGCCGGCATGCAAAAATCAATGACATTCCCAACCAGCACAGATCAGATGAAAAACTAACAACATACAGTTGCCGAACGTATGAAGAGAATTCATTGCCAGCCAAATTTAAGAACTGTTTAGAGGCTCATGCATACAAGAGAAAAGCTATTCTTGTTCTAGTTCTTATCGGGACTTGTACAGCCATAGGTGATGGTGTGCTTACTCCAGCTATTTCAGGTATAATTTTCCTCAACCTGACTCTTATGCTGCAGGTTTACCTTTTCTACTATCCTATCATCTGCCTATTTTATTAATCTTTATTTTTATCTTCATTTCAACTTACAAGATTAAGAAAAATTATTTTCTTAATTTTTTTCCTTTTTTTTTAATATGCCGTCACAATGGATTAGAAGATTTGCTTTCCATTTCTGAAATAGCCATTATTGATGCAACTTCTTGCATTTCTTTTCTGATGTGTGAATTCTATGGTATCTTTTGGCAGTTCTCTCAGCAACTGGTGGAATCAAGGTGAACCAGCCCAATGTTAGCAATGGTAAGATTTATGCCATTGGATTTTTAACATAACCATATACTTTTGATATTGAGATATGGAGAGTTGTAGGTGATATTGCAATGAATTTAAATATATATATATATATATTGCAAAGTCAGTTCTAATTCTTCTGGAGTCACGGGTTCGAGTCTGCCTCCGTGCGAGATTGAGTGGTTAGGCACTTGAGGTTGGTTGGGGGCTCGTATCATAGCTTCTGACCAATCTTTTTTAATATATATATATATATATAAAGATTTTGATGATGCTAAATGATTGGAGATAAAATATTTTGGGAGGAAAGACGTGTTCATAATTAAGCTAAGTATAGTAGAATCGAGCTCATGAGAGAGAGAGAGAGATAAGGAGATGATAGATTACATACTTCAGAAAATCATATTGGTATCATATAATCAATTTGGGTTGATGCCAGGAAGATCTACTATGAAGTGATTTTTATGCGAAGATACTTAATCAAAATTATAGATTGTTAAGTATGGATCTTCATGTGATTTTTATTGATCTTGATTTGGCATGATCAATTATAACAAGAATTGGTTTAAGCGCATTGAGAAAAAAATGCCATTTACTTAAATTATGCAAGTTATCGAAGTATATATGATAAAGCATTGACTGGTATTATAATTAGTTCTTGCGATAAAAAAAATTTATGGAGTAGTGTTATATGGATCAATATTATGTCCATACTTTTTTGTATTTACTGTAAAAGTTCTTACAAAAATTATTTAAAGGGAGCTGTTTCAGTGTATGCTTTTCACATATGAAATATTAAAAAAAGTTGTAACAATGAAGAGGATGTTTGGGAGATAAATTGCTTAGGATTGATAGAGCAATGTTCGAGTATATGATTATGCTATTTTAGTGGGTGAACCATCAATATTATTAGATGATGAAGTTCTATTTTTGGATCTAGTATACAAAGAGAAGTGTGATATAAATCTGGTTATAACTTCTAGAATTGATTTGTTAAATTGTAACGAAGGGATATTATGTAATGGGATAATATCATGGAGATTTAAAGTTATATTTAATCTGCAACTATATTGGTTATTTTGATTGGATCCTAATGTCAGGCAATAAAATTGTTGATGCTAAAGTTCATTGTGACAAAAATGAGATTGTTATGATGTATGAGTGGATAAAGCTGGAAAATGCATGTTGAAGAATAATTATATTAATCGGCGGATGTTGCATTTAATGAATATAAACAACAGGAAATAAATTTGGTGTCTTAGATATGTAACATAGATATGTATAGTGATCATTTAAGTGTAAGGAAAATGGCCAGACTATATATAAAATGGATGAAGCTTTATAAAAAGATTTTCACGAGATAGATTTAAGTTTTCATGTAACACTCAATTAGAAATAATGCAGAATGATGATTCACAAAGCTGAACCCAAGTAATTGATATAAAGCTAATGATGATAATGATGATGATTTCCTTTAATGTGCTTTAGTTTATGCAAGTGATGCAGAAAATCACAAGACTAATATAACATGGATGAAGCTGTATAAAAGGTTTTTCACAAGATATTATTAAGTTGTCATGTAACACTCAATAAGAAATAATGCAGAAAGATGATTCACAAAGCTGAACCCAAGTAATTGAGATAAAGCTAATGATGATGTTTTCCTTTAATATGCTTTAATTTATGCAAGTGATGCAGAAAATCGCACCTAGGGAATCTTTTGTACATTTTCATATGGTGAGATTTACTATTATAGGGGTCTAAGGAACATTTTTTGCTTGGTATATAACGTGTGGTGTCAAGTGTCAACAGTGGCGCGGCAACTGCTGTGTCTCTACCTGGACTGAATTGGTTCAGACATTGGAGAGATGGGCTGGGCCTTCTATGGCTTAGGGTTTAGCTTTTGCGTGAGTTTTTGTCGAGATAGTCGCCAACATCTTTTTTCTTTCTTCGAGGGTTGTATCTAAGGGTTTGAGTGGTGTTTCGGTTGTATCTTGCTTCTGAGGTGATGATTATGTTCCCAATTCCTTTCCGCATTATCCCCACGTGGCTCCCGAATGCCCTCCATTGCTGCAGCTGCCCCCGAACAGTCGTACATTGTTGTTTTCCATGCAGTTTTCTATTCAGCCACTTGTCCTCGCTACCGCCGCCCCGGACAGCTGTCCTCTTGCTGTCTGGCAGTCCCTCACATTCCTCATACTTGTCGTCAAGATTCCCGCTCACTGCAGCCGCCTGAAAACAATTGTTCTCGGCTGTTTTTTGCTGTTACAACCGCCCGACCATCCATTTCTCTAATTCCAGCTTGTCGTCATTGCCGCAACTCCTTTCCTTTGCTGCCACCGTCATCCTCCCTTGCTATCGCAACTCAGGAGATCCCTTCCCAGCCATCTCGCTGCTGTCTAGCCCCCTCTTTCTTGCGACCACTGCCCAGGACAGCAACTATATTTGTTGCTCCTGCAGCTTCGCACCTCACCCTTGCAGTTACCAGTACACTTTTGATGCTTCCACGCCTTCCAGTCTTTCACCAACCCTTTGCCACCTCTCCGAAGGACCAAGCCCTCGCCGATTGCCACCACCGCTTTGAAATCCAACCTAGTTTGAGATTGTTGCACCTCGCCCTTGCAGTTACCAGCACACTTTTGATGCTGCCACGCCTTCCAGTCTTTCACCAACCCTTTGCTACCTCTCCGAAGGACCAAAACCTCGCTGATTGTCACCACCGCTTTGAAATCCAACCTAGTTTGAGATTATTGTGTCATGTCTGTTGCTATTCCTATTTCCGTTTGTGAGATTGTATTTCCTAATTTTGAATTCAGAAATATTTTTTTATTTTTCTATTGTTGTTTTGGGCTAATTCTGATATCACTAAAGATAATGCAAAATTTGCATTCTTTGTATTTAGCATAATGTGCACTATTACCGGCAAGCATAGTACAAGATGTACATTAGTTCCATTGGAATAAGTGCAATATTGGCATATTTGCTGGTTATTCATAGCTGATGGTTTTTATACTGTCAATTTCAATGTCACAGATGTTGTTATACTGGTCGCAGTGATTATATTAATTGGTTTGTTTAGCATGCAACATTATGGTGCAGACAGAGTTAGCTGGGTATTTGCTCCGGTTGTTCTCCTCTGGTTTTTGTTTATAGGATTCATAGGGGCATTTAACTTATGGAAGTATGACAGTTCAGTTCTTAAAGCCTTCAATCCAGCTCATATATTTAAGTATTTTAAATGTGGCCGCCAGAATTGGACTTTCCTTAGTGGGATTATGCTTAGCATCACAGGTTGGCATCTCAACAATTTATAAAACTTGATTTCTCTTGGCCAATAGACTTCTTGTCTATGAAGGAGATTCTAACATGGACTATTTCATTAATTTTTTTTTCAGGATCTGAAGCATTATTTGCTGACCTATGTAATTTCCCAGTTCCTGCTATTCAGGTTTACTTTTTTAGCAATCTTTACTCCAAATTCTTCTGTGTTAGAATTTGTGACCCAAATTGTGTTAACCTTGGATTGAAAAGTGTGTGGTGCGACATCTATGACCCAACCAAATTATGAGAAATTTTTTTCTTGGAGGATTTATGGTGGTAGCGGAGAAATTGTTATGTTTTTTAAGATCAATTTATTAGGGCGTTGTATATGCTTAAATGTATCATGCATGTTATTTCCACTAGGTTTTGATATACATAAAGAACCAACCGCTCCTGCTCCACTTTTTGTTTTTCACTGTAATTTTCCTTGTGTGCGGTGAATCGTCTTCTCATCTGCACATGATTTTTCTTGTCTGAGGTTTTTCGCATAGTTCCGTGTTATTCTCTTTTCATCTTTTACTTTTCATTGCATCAGTTTTGTAACAATTTGTTACTCTAGCATGTAACTATTTTTTGCAGATTGCTTTTTCTTTTGTTGTGTTTCCATGCCTTCTTTTGGCATACATAGGGCAAGCGGCTTACATCATCCAACACCAAGATCAGGTATTCGACGCATTTTATCGGTCAATTCCAGGTCGGTTTCAGCTCTTCTAGCTTGAAGCAATTATACTTTCCATCTGAAAAATAATAATAATTTTTTTTTCCTGAATTACAGATTGTGTATACTGGCCTATGTTTGTGATTGCAACAGCTGCAGCCATTATTGCTAGCCAAGCCACAGTATCAGCAACATTTTCAATTATCAAGCAGGCGCTTGCTCTTGGATGTTTTCCAAGAGTTAAGGTTGTTCATACATCAGAAAATTTTCTCGGACAGATATATATTCCCGACATTAATTGGATTATGATGATTCTATGCATAGCTGTTTCTGCTGGTTTCAAAAATCAAAATCATATTGGCAATGCATATGGTAAGAATGCTTATCATCTATGTTACTCCCTCCCTCCTCCCCTTCATGCACTCTCTTTCGAAGAAGCTTTTAGAAGAAGTTTTACTAGCGATAAAAAATTGCTTGCCTTTTCAGATAATTGTTACAATTATAGAAATTGCTCCGAAGGGATGGAAAGGATAAAAAAATTTCATAACGGACTCCTAAGTGCTTCATTCTCATTAACTGTTTTATTGCTTCTGTATCTGATAAATTTGTTTCATTTCATTTTAAATTGAAATCTTAAATTTATCCTTATCAGGCTTCTGCTTTCTTATAAGCCTTACATGACTGGATGTATGTAGGAGTTGTTAGGTTGGCAAAGAAACATGAAGTTTGGATAATTCCGGTGATGCTTTTATCACAATAAGAGAAGTCATGCTGCTAGGGTCCCTTGGTCATGTTGCATTGGTAAGGTGCATCAAGCAGGGGTTTAATTTTATGGGCATACGCATCTTGATTTTTTTTTTTTTTAGTTATGCCAACTCAAATTTTGACAATAAAACACTCACAAAAGCTAGAAATTTTGCTGTTAAATCAATAAATTAAACCAATACAAATGAAGAATGTAGGAAAAAAGATATGCATGTTTTGATTGGCGAACACTCAAGTATTTATGTGTTTAACCCAATTAAATTAATTATACTAAATAACATTAATGTCCATTTTTATATTCAATTGATTTAGTCTTATAAATGTGATATCATGTAAGTAAACTAAGTTGCAGTCTAAATGGTAAACCGAGTGAGTGTTTTAACTATTGAGCACAATATGAATTGATAACTCCACCACCACAACAACAATAACAAAGCCTTAAACCCACTACGTGGGGCGGCTACATGAATCCTTTTTCTCCATTGCGTCCTATTTAGTGTCATATTTTCATTTAGTTCTAATAAATTAAGATTATTTTTTATACAATAAGCCCAAGTCTTCTTAGGGTCTTAGGTCTACCTCTGTCTTTCTTAACATAAGTCGAATCTAAAATATTTGCTCTCCTAATTTGATCATCAGATGGTTGACGTTTAATATGACCAAACCATCTAAGACGACTCTCTCTAATTTTGTCCGTCACTGGAGCTACACCTACCCTATCACATTGATAACTCCACTATACTAGCTAAATTAATTAATGCACTAAGCACTAACTTCATAATTGTCCAAACACAAATATAGAAATAATAAGATAAATAGTGATGTAAAAAATAATTTTTAGCTGGTCATTATAAATTGGGACAAAACTAACAAACTTAGTGCAGAAGCAACTATGATATGAATTGCCAAATGAACATTCAAGTTCAAACAATTTAATTAAGCATACAACAACAACAACAACAACAAGTTTTTGTCCCACAAACTGGGGTCGGCATATATAATCATGCAAGGAAAAATTTCTAATCTACAAGGATTTAGATTCAAAAGGTTTTAATGTGTTTCGGTGCCCAAATGGCTTGTATCTATGCTTAATTCAGATTCAAATTAGAATTTTTCTACCAAACTTAATGACCCGAGCTGAACAAGCCGATTCAGCTGAATTGGATCAACCAAGAAAGGAGCAGAGCCGGCTGGTCCATGTTTATGGCTTAGGGTTGCCGCCCAAGGGGAGGGGCCTTCCCTATATATATATATATATATATATATATGTATGTATGTATATATATGTATGTATGTATATATATATATGTATGTATGTATGTATGTATGTATGTATGTATGTATGTATTTTTCTTGTGTTGTGGTTCAATTTTAATTGAGTTTTCTATTAGGACAGTTATTGATGTTTGGTTTATCTACCTTGGGTTGTTTCCAAGGGCAGGTGGTGCTCCGACTGTATCTTGCTCCGAGATGTTGACTATCATCCTACATCCCGCACTATTCCTTGCGCCGCTTGCTGCCCTTACATCTGTAGCCCGCCCATTTCCGGTTTTCCCTGTCGCCAACCTTAGTCCTCCATCTTGTTCTTGTTGCGGCCCCATACAGCTCCACTAACATGCTGTTGAAACTCCTTTCCTACCTCCTCGCTTGCCGCCAC